GATTGAATTCCCCGGAGCCGGGTGGGCAGAAGTTTTGTGCGGGCTTTAGTTTTCAAACCTGATTTGCAAATGGTGTTTCCTTCTTATCCGTTTAAAATACTTTTTTTAAATTCTTTTTTATGTTAAGAGGATGGCGTGTCAGAAGCACCCGGTGAGGAGTCGAGAAGGTTTACCAGGGAACAGTTATTTACCATGGCTGCGACAGCTACTATAAACTTCAGTTCAATGATATGTTATTCTATCCTGGGACCCTTTTTCCCTTTAGAGGTAAACAAACAAATTAGCCAGCTACTCTTCAGATTATTTTTTGCATGTTGAAGCTCATGCTGGACCATCATTCACTTCCTGACCTACTAGCTAGAGGGAAAAACAGATAACCTCTGCTTATGCTGAGTGAATACAAAGTTTAAATATAGAATAAAAAAAAAAAAAGGTCATGGTGCCTTTGCAACAGAAGTTCATTTCTCTCATGACCAAGTTGTTCCCAATTATTAATAAAGAAATTTTAAGGTTATTTTTGCTCTAAATATTCTTGTGTACTGGTTGTATGTGTATTTTGCCAGTTGGATAAGTCAGAAATTTGCCTGGTGCTTGTTACGGGGAGGCATGGTAGCGTGAGGATAACAGATACCTCTATTTGCTGCTCTCTCGCCATGCGAGGGTTCCAAGCCTTGCAGCTAGCTCTGTTGCACACTATCAGAAGCCACCCGTATAAAGACTTGTCACGTGTTCAGCAGTTCAGCAAACAGTACAGTGTTTCCGTTCACTGAGGAATGAACATTGCTTTTCCCTTGATTACATATAGAATCACAGGCTCCAAATGGTTTGCGTTGGAAAGGACCTTAAAGATCACTTAGTTCCAACCCCTCTGCCACGAGCAGGGACACCTTCCACTAGACCAGGTTGCCTCATCCAACCTGGCCTTGAAAACTTCCAGGGAGGGGACGTCCACAACTTCTCTGGGCAACCAGAGATAATTTCTTCCTAGTATCTAATCTAAACCCACCCTCTTTCAGTTTAAAACTGTTCTCCCTCATTCTGTCACTACCTGCCCTTGTAAAAAGTCACTCCCCTGCTTTCTTGTAGGCTCCTTTCAGGTACTGGAAGGCTGCTATAAGGTCTCCCTGGAGCTTTCTTCAGGCTGAACAACTACAGCTTTCTCAGCCTTAGCTAAGAATAGCAGAATAGCTTAAATAGAAGTGCAACATGTTTTTAAATTGCTGTGTTGTTACATTGTGAGCCCCTACTGCCTTTGAGAAAGGCGATTGCTTTGTAGCTGTGCTAATGGAGAACTAAAAAAAAATTAAATATACAAGGCATGAATGTTATTCACTTCAAGAATTTGCCTCCATCTTTACACAGTTGTGTTCTTTTTTTCAGGCAAAAAGAAAAGGTACCAGTAATACTGTTGTTGGTCTGATTTTTGGATGTTTTGCTTTGGTCAATTTCCTGACTGCTTTAATCTTGGGGAATTATGTAAGTATAATTGAAGCTGTAATTTACTTCTTTGACGACACGGGTTGGTACATGAAGATAGTTCTCCAAGGCTGTGGAAAAAGATGTCTCTTCAGTAGCACTCCTGCAGGCTTGTGTCTGAAGTAACTAGAGCCTGGCCAGTCAGTCTGATCTAAGTCTTGTCAGTATAACCTAAAATTACTCTTCTACAGTTCTGGAGGGTAGCATAGGGTGGTGGAGATGTAGCAGGTTTATTTCTCTGGTTAACTGCTCCATTTGCTTCAGAGTAATCTGCTGATCAATTTCTATTACCTCCTTTCCCTCTACCCTCCATTTTATTTAATGCACACACTGGTATATTCTGTTTGCCTTTGGGAGGTTCTTAAGGTGGTTTGTTTTGTTTATTTTTTCTTTAGTTAGCTACACACCTTCTTCTTTTCTGGTATGTTGTCTTTTTGTTAACATTTCCTCCTGTTATGATTCTCTGGTGGCTGACTGTTTCCCATTCCACATCATTATACAGCAATGAGAGATAAATGTCTCCAGTTCTTGCATCTTCAGTTGTCCCACAGGTTTAGGCTTTTTCTCCTGCTGGATATGTTACAAATAAATTGTAAAACAGTCTGTTTGTTTATATGCTGGAGCCCTGCTGTCTGTGCATTTCTGGCTAGGGCTGTTCAGGATCATACTCTTAAGTTGGGGCTGCTGCAGTGTTACAGTCTTCTCTTTCTTGACTAGACAGTCTCTTTTTGCTGACCCCAGGGTGAATGATTTTCTCTGGTGGTGAGGTGGCTCATCAAGGTGTCACACAATTGCCATTGGTAAGTCCAATTGCAGTACATGTGATGGCATTCAACTATGGCACAACCCTCAACAAGTGCTTTGCAGGGGAGAGAGTGAGTGTGCCATCCTCACTACAGACAGGTGATGTGAACACCAATAAAGATGGACAGTCTAGAGGTCAGAAATTCTGAGGTTTTCAGTGGAACCAGCAAAATAGGGGCTTTAGTAATAATGGCTGAAATGCAGAGACTTTGTTGAGGCCTGAATGAGAAAAGAGTCTGAAACACCTGCTGTCCTCAGGGGAAGTTAAAGCATGGAATTAGAAGCTCAGTTGTACTTCGTTACAGGATTGAGTTAGCTTTATGGCATGCCTCTCATTGTCCTTCACCCTGGTGATGGATGGAGTCTGCAATGAAGGAAGATGGGGTTCTTTCCCTGATAACAAATGGGGAACCCTGAAGCTGCAGTGCTTCCTATGCCAAAGCTTTGTGCTGTTAAAGGTTGTGATAAATTTGCTTTAAAATGAGTGTCCACTGACTCTCCTGAGCCATGTATATGACAGGTATGGCTGACTTGGCATCACTGACAGTGCTGGAGGGGGAATGTATTACTTTCTGTTTGCTTATAATGAGGAATGCTGTTGTAACCTGCTGCTCTACAGAAGCTGCTGTGAAATAGTTAAATGTACCATTGTCTTACCATTCTGGAAACTAGGTTAAGTCACTTAACCGTTTAGAATATTTTTAGGTTCAATATTGCATGAAAGCACACCAGCAGGAGCAGTGTCTCCAGATCTTTTAGTTACATACACTATGAAGTACCTGTAATGTTTTAATTTCTTAACAGTAACTTACTTTGAAAGATTTTGATCTATGCTTGAAATAATAACATGTAAAAAAGGTATTTAATTTACAGCTTACATATATTGGAGCAAAATTCATGTTTGTCGCTGGCATGTTTGTTTCTGGATGTGTGACCATTCTGTTCGGGTGAGTAATTTTTGTTGGTTGGTTTTGTTGTATTTGTCTTCTGATCATTTTCATCCGTATGAAAAGATGGACACAAAACAAAACTGGAAACTTGGGCATCTTTTGGGTGTGGATTAGGTCACCTAACTTTTTTACATCTTTACTTTTTATCTATCCCTTGTAAAGCAGAAGGAACACTTCTCCCTTTCAGTAGGTTTCAGAGCCTGTTTAGTACTTTGAAAGCAAAGGTGGAAGGTTCTATGTATTTAAATAACTACTGTAGTTCATGAACAGCAAGAAGTCTGACAAAGTGCAGCAATAAGGCAACTATTTATGCATAATGTTTTATTTTTCTTTTCTTAAAAATATGGAGTGCAAGTGAAAAGCTTTGCCTGGCAGGTAGAGAGGCTAAGCCACTCATTTTAGCAAAATAGAAGGTTTTTTAACAATGAAGGAAGCTCTTACTACATAGTTGTAACTCATTGCATCAGACTCCTTGCACAGTTGCTTGGAAAAGCTGTGACATTATCATGGTTTATCCTGGCTGGCAGCCAGACACCACAGAGCTTCTTGCTCACTTTACCCCACCCTGGGGAACAGGGGAGACAATTGGAACGGCAAAGGTAAGGAGACTCATAGGTTGAGATAAAAAGAATTTAGTAAGTGAAATAAAATTAAAATAATAATTATAATAATGATGATAATATAATATAAAAATGAGTGATGCACAGTGCAGTTGCTCACCACCCACTGACCAATGCCCAGCCCATTCCTGGCTAGCGATCCCAGAGGAGAGAAAATCCCAAAACTGCAGTCCCAGAAGAGAAAGAGAGCTTCTCAGCCAACCCTTATTTCTAGACTGAACATTACCTTGTATGATATGGAATATCTCATTGGCCAGTTTGGGTCTGTTGCTGTGCTCCTGCCCGGCTTGCACAAGCCCTTCTTGTGCACCTGCACACTAGCAAAACATGGGAAGTTGAGAAGTTGTTGATTTCTAAAAACGTCAGTATATTATCAGCGTTCTTCTCATACCAAAACCTATTCTAAATCCTATACACAGTGCTATTCTAGCTACTGAGAAGAAAATTAGCTATATCCTAGCTGAAACCAGGACAGAAATACAACAGAAGATGCCATTGGAGTTTTCCACAGGGTAGGTGTTTTGTGCTCTTTTCACCAACAAAGAAAGGTGAAAAGGAGAAAGCTGCCAGAGTTTGAATTACTTCATCAATGTGATTCAAAAAGATGTGGCAATATAAAGCACTGAGTGTCTTGTAACTGTGTCCTTTAATGAGTAAGAAATGGTGCTCCACGGCCTTTAGCAGATGACTTGTTGCATTCTGAGAGATCTCCATTTACTGTTTCGGTTTTTGTGGTTTTTTACAGAATGCTGGACAAGGTGCCAAGTGGACCAATGTTCATTGGTTTGTGCTTTTTAGTAAGAGCAATGGATGCAGTAGGTTTTGCAGCAGCAATGACAGCATCATTTTCAATCCTTGCAAAGGTGTTTCCCAATAACATAGCTACTGTCCTGGTAAGTGCAAAAAACTGTTACAGTTGAGTACGTGCAACATGATAAATTGCCAGAAGGCAGCCTAAAAGCAGGAGGAGGAAATCTGCTGTTGTATGTGCAAGCATATTTGAAATCATCACATGATGCTTGTTTGTAGTCTAGAATCACAATCCTATAACAAACTTAGACCTTAGCATAACTCCAATTAGATATAAGCTAAGCAGTATACATTAGTTGCTTAAGTTTGGAAGACGGCTGGTCATTGATGGCAGTAGATCTCTCTTCAGTTGAAATCAGACTATTAAAATACTAGTACAGCTTCTAGGGTCTTATTCTACATGGATAATAAGAATCCATGTGGATTGATTAAAAAAAAATTAATCAATTCATTAAAATAGTGTTGATTTAAATGACTGAAAGATGCAAAACTGGAAACAAGTTTGGTTTTATTTTTCTAATCTGTTGATAAAAGTGATATACGAGAAGCAGCAGCGTTTCAGGTCATCAATGATTCATTTCAACCAGAGATATTACCCTTATTTAGTCAATTTTTATGGTGTTAGGAAAAAAAAGTTTTGTATTTAGTAAAATGCTGCTTTCTTCTCTTCAATAAATTCTAGTTTCAATTCAAATACAGACTGACAGAAATAACTGGGTTAAATTTTAATGAATGAACAAATGTTAAGAACATCCTTCAGAACATTTAATAAAATTAAATAAAGGTTGCTGCCAAGTCACAGCTGTGTAGCACTTTTGATTGTGGTCTGGAGGTGACCTTCACCACCATAAACCATTTTTCAGCTGTGCATCCTGTTTATTGTGCTGCCACCACAGAATTTTGTTTACTTTTAAATCAGATTATATGATAGATAACTAAATCCCATTAAGTCAGGGTTAATTTACTTACCTATTTAAATTACACTTTAAAATTTGCAGAGAGGAAACCTTAACCTTGTGAGTATCATAGAGTGGTTGATATTGTTGTTAAGCTGTAGAATTACTTCTGTAAATAAATGTCTATAAAAATATGGCATCCTAACTAGCAAAAAACTACTAAATTATATCAGCAGTGAGGAGCTGGCAATTTCTTTGGAAAAGAGCTTATACATGGTAATCATGTTTTGGATTTATGCAGTCCTGATCTAGTTGAAGATGTCCCTGCTCACTGCAGATGGGTTGGACTAGATGGCCTTTAAAGGTCCTTTCCAACCCAAACCAGTCTATGATTCTAGTAAGGTTAAGGCTTCCTGTTTGTAAATTTTAAAATGTAATTTAAATAGGAGAGACAGCTTTTAACTTGGCACCTGTACCACTTCCCAGGAGATAATGATCCATCCCAGCAGGCTTGTTTGGGTCCTCCCCTTCAGGCTAGAGTGTGACAGCAGGTGGGAGAGATGATCACTCCAGCCTGAGTTGTCCCACAGATGCTTTCCATCAGTAGAACATTTGTCTTGCCTCAGGACTTGGATGAGTTAGGTAACAGCAGAGCAACTAATGCTGCAGTACAGGTGGTCCTCCATAGTGAAGCAGAAGAAATTATTGCTGTCATGCAGACAACTGCAAAATTCCTGTGAAATATCCCACTTTGTGAAGGTCTCTACTAGCTGTTACCCTCCCTTGGTACCTTTTTATTTTCACTAGTCTGACTATGTTGTGCTGCTCTTCAGAAACATTGATGGCTTTTATTTATTGTTACGCTGGAGTTTCTCAGTATTCTTCTTTTTTTTTTTTTTTGCCTGCTTTCTTTTTCATCTTTTAGGGCAGCCTTGAAATTTTTACAGGACTTGGACTGGTGTTGGGCCCACCTTTAGGTGGCTTTTTGTATCAATCATTTGGTTATGAGGTCCCTTTCATTACACTGGGATGCATAGTCTTGGTCTTGGTGCCTGTGAATATGTGCATATTACCAAAATATGGTAAGCACCCTTCTTCTTGCCTCCTTCAATCACCTTAATTTCTCATGTATATAACAGTATTTTAGAAAAATATCAGTTTCTAGAGTCTGATCCAACTCAGAAGGCAAAGCTCCAGCTGAATGAACTTGTAATCTTGATTAGGCCTGTGTTTTAATATGGACTAAAATTAATGCGTGCAGATGGCCTGGAATGAATTCAACACCTCATGCCCATCTCTGCAAACACTAAGAACTCTGTGTGGAAGTGCACTGAGATAAATTTTTGTTTTCTTTTGTCTTTTTAGCTTCAGGGCTTGTAAAGGATCTGTTGTGTCTGCTTTGTAACAGCTTGTCATTGCAGCTAGTTGAAGAAAAACTGAGGATAGGTTTTGTGTAAAACAAGAGATCTTGACATGTTTGAGGGGTTAATAGTGGGGGGGGGAGGAAACAGAATTATAGGGAGAACAAAAGGGGTTTGTTTGTACTGAATGATTGCAGATCTGATTAAAATGAAGTAATGTTAAAATTAATAAACAAGGGGTGTAACTGAAGTGCTGGAGGTTGTATAAATTTTATTACATTTTAGATGGTCCTACTTAGACAGAAAGTTAAAGATTGTGATTGCAAGGTTACAGTTCTGTTAGTCTTTTCTAGACATAAAAAAAAGTAACTTTAAAATGCAGGTCCTGCACATGGGTCGGGGCAATCCCAAGCACAAATATGGGCTGGGTAGAGAATGGATTGAGAGCAGCCCTAAGGAGAAGGACTTGGTGGTGTTGGTAGATGAGAAGCTGAACATGAGCCGGCAATGTGTGCTTGCAGCCCAGAAGGCCAACCATATCCTTGGCTGCACCAAGAGAAGCGTGGCCAGCAGGTTGAGGGAGGTGATTCTGCCCCTCTGCTCTGCTCTCATGAGACCCCACCTGGAGTCCTGTGTCCAGCTCTGGAGCCCTCAGCACAGGAGAGACATGAACCTGTTGGAGCAGGTCCAGAGGAGGCCATGAGCAGAGCAGCTCTCCTATGAGGACAGGCTGAGAGAGTTGGGGCTGTTCAGCCTGGAAAAAAGAAGGGTCTGGGGAGATCTTATAGGAGCTTTCCAGTATCTGAAGGGGCCTACAGGAAGGCTGGGGAGGGACTTTTATAAGGGCAGGTAGCAATAGGATGAGGGATAACAGTTTTGAACCAGAAGAGGGCAGGTTTAGATTAGATATGAGGAAGAAATTCTTTACTGTGAGGGTGGTCAGATACTGGAACAGGTTGCCCAGAGAAGCTGTGGCTGCCCCCTCCCTGGAAGTGTTCAAGGCCAGGTTGGATGAGGCTTTGAGCAACCTGGTCTAGTGGAAGGTGTCCCTGCTGATGGCAGGGGAGTTGGAACTAGATGATCTTTAAGGTCCCTTCCAAGCCAATCCATTCTATGATTCTTAAATACAGTCGTTTGTTTGTTTGTTTTAATTTCCTTTTTTCCTGTTAAATCCTATCAAGTTCAGGTTTTTAACATAAAAAATAGTGTTGTGCATAATAGCCTACTATTGAGTTTCATTTGTTGGATAACAAGAGTAATAGCATTCGTAAAAGGGAAATACTGATTTCTTTTGTGAAGCAAGATGAACAGTCATGAGCTCATGCTGCTGAAAATAATGCAATTCCCCCCCTTTTCTCTTGAAACAGATTCAATCCCTAGCAAGGAGTCCTTTTGGAAGCTCATTCTTCTGCCAAAAGTCTTACTACTCTGTCTTACTATATTTTCTCTAAGTGCATGCTTGGGCTTTTTGGATCCCACAATGTCTCTATTTATCCTAGAGAAGGTAAGTCCTGTTAACTTGCTAAACAGTAAACAACTGGTTATAAGTATGATTTAAATATCCCAAACAAAATTAAGCCTTGTCCAAGTACACTGCTTTAATTAACTGTTAATAATTTGATTTCCAAACAGCTTGATTTCCACAGTACTGACAAATCAGTTTCCATTTACACCATCTGTTGCTGATGAGTCTCGGTAACTTTAAGAATGAGGAAATGTAGGGCCTCTAAAATACATGCTTTTTCCACTTAATTGGCTTTCAGCTGCAGAGTACCTTCTTTGAACAGGGAATCACAGCTGGTTTTGTAAACTAGGGACTTTTTCCACCTTTCTGAAAGCAAATTCTGTAAAATTGCAACAACCAATTACAGCATTTTATCTCTTGATGTGAGTATTTGGTTTTGGGGACACGATGTCACAACCCTGCCTTCTCTTACAGCGATGCCAAAATTAAACTGACTGTAACTATATAGCCTGCCAGCTGATGTCTTCACTCACTCATTAAAAAGGCAAATGCTGTTTTATTTATTTAATTTTAATTTATTTTAATATTTATTTATTTGTTTCCTACTTAATTATGTTGATTTATTTATTTTCCCCACAGTGTTTATGGTAACGAATTTGAAGTAAACGGTTTATGGTTTTGTTCCAGTGTGAAATTAGGCAATGCTTTTTGAGTGGTTTATTTATTAATTGTTTTTCCAGGGAATAACATTTCACAGGTTGTAGTGCTCCTACTTTTCCTCTGTCTAGTCCAGAATTTAGAGCACTCATCCAGGATGGAGACTTGGTGCTAACCTCTTCCATCAGTGGAGATGTGAATGTATCTCTTCTACCACCCAGAAGGCATCTGTAATTATCCTACTGTAGAATATTGCACACTGGTGTGGCTCTTCTGCTTTCCTTCTGCTCTGTGCTAACAGATACTTGCCATGAAAGGGCTGTAGCCTACTTGGCAAGATGTTCTAACCACTAAATTAAAGTTATTATCATGTGCTTGCAATATGGCAAGGAAATAGTGAATATTTATTTAGCCCATGCCGCATAAAACATCTTGAAATTCCTTCTGAGTGGTAGTTATAGCACTCATTTGAGAGACTAGTATGATTTTGGTTCACTATACATTTTGTTTCAATACAGAAATGCGACTCTGCATTAGGAAAATGTAGACCTCGAGGTGTTTGCAAAAAGCCTCTTACTCATTCTCATAAAAATCTCCGTTTGGTTGAAAAGCCATAGTTGTGTTTTATAGCACTACTTACTTTAAGATGCCCTGATTAGCACTGGATGACTACAGTATTTATGCTTTTCTCAGTGGAAATAAAACTGGGTTGGAGAGGTAAAGACTAAATCCACCTAAATTTCAGTGTCTGAAGTGTCTGTTTCAAATGTGCTGTTAGAATCCAGTGTGCTGGCGTAGGAACATATCATAGTGTTTCTTCCAGAGGTTGTTTGGGCTTTATCTGAGCACAGTTGCATCAGGTGTTGTCACTCCATGCATAGAAGTGTAAGTGAAGGAAACTGGAGCTCTGCTGATGACTTCAAATGCTTGAAAAACCTCTGCATGGTATCAGTAAAATACTTAAAATAATGCATTTAGTATTTTGACCTAAAATGTAATCCTTGGATTGTTCTTTAATTAATACAGCATATATGGTTTATTGAGAATTTTTTTGTTTGTTTTATTTATTTTCCTTCTCATAGTTCAAACTCCCAGCTGGTTATGTGGGCTTGGTATTCCTCGGTTTGGCACTCTCTTACTCCCTGTCTTCTCCCCTCCTTGGACTTCTAAGTGACAAACTGCCAGTAAGTACTACCCTGCTGTTTGTGCAGGGTTAGTGAAGCACTCTTTGCATTTAGTTAAAACTGGAGGACTTCCCATACTGAAGCAGTGGACATAGGCCTGGTCCTGTGAAGGGATCTGTGTTTCAGGACCTTGCACGAGCACTGAGTACTGCCAACTTGAAGGTCTCTTTTGGAAGGTCCAGGTAATACAAGAATGTCTGAAATAGTAAAGAATGTTGGACAAGTACTCTGTAATTGAAATGTGTTGAGCTTTTCTGGTGAATGAAGCACAATCTGTTTCCAGCCAATATGGAATGCAGAGTGGGAAAACGTCCCAGTTATTTGTGCTTTTGTCCACATCTAATCACAGAAGAGTAAGACCTAAAATACTCTGCTAACAGAGAAGCACTACTACTCACTATCCTGAAGAAATCTCTGTATTAAGCAGTGATTGCCCTAGTGGCAAGGAAACATGAATTCAGTGTTTCTTCACAGTGTTCAGAACTATCAGAAACTGTGAATTCCCAGTTTGTGTGTAATGATGGTCTCTACAGGAGCAGTACTTTTTAGAGGATGAAGATTTAGATAAGGGGTATTAGGAAGGACAAAAGAGTTACATTACAAATTCACATCTTTAAATTATATACCTCTTCCTTTTCTTCCACAGTACCTCAGGAAGTGGTTGCTGGTATCTGGAGGCTTAATGGCAGCACTGTGCTTTTTCATGTTAGGTCCTGCTCCTGTACTGCACATTGAAAGGTACAGAACTGCCTCTTCTTGAACCGTTCCTCTTATGTGATGTTTTTGTGATAGCTGTCATGACCATTTTCATGTATGTCCACAAGTCTATAATTAGCACCTCTAACCATGAAACAGGGTTTTGGTTTTTTTTAATTTCTAATATGGGACTATGAATGCAAAGCAGTGGAAGCATCTGAAAATGGAGATTTTACAGCTTCATAAAATAGATCCTTTTCCTTTGTTTTTTTGTTTTTGTTTTTTTTTACTGTGTTTGCTCATGTGCTAATGTGTGATGGGATGAATGCTGCTTTTTATTTCCCTTTCCTGCCAATTCTGTGGCATTTCCAGTGCAGCAAACCAAAGTTTTCTTTCTATCTATCTATCTTTTATTTTTCAATTTTCTCTATTTCATCAGTGTTTCTTAACTATGGGTTTTAAGTGTATGGCTGTGCAGCAGTATTGATTTTTCTTCTCTCTGTGTATAGCTTACTGAGGAAAATGCCAGATTATAGCTTGGTTTTCAGCTAGCTAAGTACAGGCAATATCTGTTGCACGTGAACGCTGCCTTGCCATAGCTCTCAAGTTAATTCTCAGCAAAACGCTCTGCTACATTTACAAAACAGCTGTACAGTTCTTTTGTCCCAGGTTATATACTCTGTTAAAGATGATGATAGGCTTGCTTGCTAATATGCAGAATTAGTCAACTCCTTCCTAAACTTCTAATTTTTAAAGAAGATCATACATTTGAAACTGGTGAGATCATACATTTGAGCTGGTGAGAAAAAGAAATCAGTAAAATCTTCAATGTTCTTTTTTTTTTTAGCTAAGTCTATTTGGGTATAATGTGTATCAGGCACAAAATTTTAGCTGCAAATCCTTCACTAGTGCAACAGACCAAGTCTGGAGCTTGGATGTATGTATTGCTGAGTTAAGCTCATCTGTGTGCCTCTTCTCTATGTGCTCCTCTTAAAATGAACTGCATTTGATAGTAAATATTTAATTTGAGCACAGGATTTTCAAATTCTTTTACGAAGTCTTTTTTTAAGCATAGAACTGTGTTTTCAAGTTTTGGTGTTCAATTAGAGTTGTTCTTGGCTTCAAGAAACATAGTTTTCTTGTCAGTCATGGAGAACTGATATAACAGTCTTCAGTCAAATGGGGTCTTTACTTGAAACAGCAGCTGACTTCTTTTAAATGCCTCTCTTTCAGCCAGCTGTGGATGTTTGTGCTGGTGCTCGTTTTGATTGGCTTTTCCCTTGGCATGAGTGCTATCCCAGTGTTTCCAGAGATACTGCAATGTGCATAGTAAGTAACTCAGTCCAACACATGTTTTGTGTTACTGACAGTAGGAAACTGCAACTAATTTTCAGGGGTGAATATGCAGCAGGGGTTTGGTGTGGCCTTTTTCCCCCTTTTTGAGACAAAGGCAGCAAATAACACTTAAATGCTTCCACAGCTCTTTCGTCTTAGTTTTTTTCTTTCTGAGCACCCCAGTCATTATATACCAAATATAATTTTGTAAATGTGTACATCAGTGCTATGAATACACTGAAGTCCATCAGACTTTGGGTCTCTTAGCATGGGACGACCTGTGTGTGGTTTCATATACATAAGATTTATTTCAGCTTCTGAGGACAAAGAATAGCAATCAGTTTTCACTGGATTTTCAGACTGCATTGGCTTTAACAGCTGCACCTACAGGAGTGCTCACAGTACAAGGTCTGTGATGTGACTTGGCAGTAATGACCTAGAACAGTCTTGACTTACTCTTATTAGTATGTTCCTTTTGGAACAAGGTCTTTCCTTCTTACAAGTGACCTGCCACAGTTTTACACTTGCCATATGAAATATGGGGAATGAGCGATGGTGTGATGTTGGGAATCTCACTCGGAAGGCGTCAGAGTTGAGAAGTAGCACTGCCATCCTCCAGAGAGGCAGCAAAGAAAGTACTGGGTGAACAGACATGATTCCACTGTACACTTTTGCTTGTTAACTATTTATGTTGTGTGTAAGTTAAAAGGAGGCAAAAAACCTTCTGTATAAGGGAAGGCTGTAGACTGAGACACAATCATGTATTGTGCTAGTCTTAACTGGTCTGTCTTTCTGCAGTGAGAATGGATTTGAAGAAGGTCTGAGTCTGCTGGGACTGGTGTCTGGGCTCTTCAATGCCATATGGTCCCTTGGGTAGGTATACAGTCACCTTTTTGTAAGCTGTGAGCATTTGGTTGTTTTACACTATTGCCACATGAAAGCCTGCTGCATTACAGCCAGAAGTCTTGCATTACAGTCGTTGTGTTGACCTTGGTTCAAAAGGTTCATGCTAAACAGGCACCTGGTGGACAGGTTAAAACAAAGCTTTTTACTCCATAAAGGGAATGGACTCTGAACTTGTCTTCTTTGAAGTGCATTGCCCAGAATATCAAAAAGCTGCAGTGATTAAGGGAATGTTAGCTTGCCCTTCTGTGTGGCCATTTTTGTTGTCACTGAAATAGTTAATGCTTAATATAGAGAGAGGTAGACCCTATTTTTTGACAAATCTAAGTTGTCCCACATGGGGTGAGCTAGAAGGTATCTGCTCCTATCACATCCTGACTGATTCAGTTCCCTCTTTTTCATTTTCTACATTTGCCTCCTTTTGTCTGGGTTAGCTTAGGATAGAATCTTCTCTTTCAGCAGCAGCCATTATTCAAGATCTGTGTTTGTGTAGCTTAGCAGAGTGTGTCTGCATTTCTTACCCAGTGGTCATCACAGAAGTGAGTGAAAGGTGCTACTGGCTGAGTGACCCTTTGGAGTTGTCACTTAGTGAGATGTGACAGAGTGCCCCTGTTTACAGCCACTTCCAGGATTTTTTTTCATCAGTCCTTGTAGTCCTCTGTGGTTGTAGGTGAGTTTCTTTGGTAGAAATTTGCACCATTTTTCCAAGCTGACTCAAGTTCTAGCTGTCCTGTTTATTTGATGTAGGGTTCAGTACAGATATTGGTAATATAAAGTTACCAAACCCCAGTTTCATGTTGTGAACAAACATGGTTGTATTATGTGACTTGCATCCAGGAAGTCTCTCTAGTTTTACATAGTTTTGTCCCTTTCTGTAGCAAGAGGCCATATCATGTAAGACCTCGCATGAAGTGACAGCAGCTGCATGACCTTTCATGGCAATCATAGACAGGCATGAAGGTGCACGGCAGTTCCATACAGCTCAACCTTGCAGTGACCGTGTCTGTCACAATGTGCCTTCCCACCTGCCTATCTCTATCAGATTTTTGTTTTGAAGTTTGGGAGGTTTACTTTTTGAGGGATGAGAGTTTAAATTTATTTTATGGTAGAACTGATCGATGTAGATGCCCTGTTAGAACATGGTCCTTAATGGAGCCTCTAAGCCGTTCCAGATACAGAAAAGAGTGCATTCAGCTTTCTGATGTGGATCCTATTTCCAGCTGAGAGTTAACTAGACAGGTCTATTGGGGCCATGGCAAACAAAGAATTAATACTTATTGTGTATTATAGGAAAGTTAGGTCTGTGGAAAACAACCTCTTTGTTAACAAAGGAAAGAGAATTAATGGAGAGAGGCCACAAAATGCAATAAACAAGTTCTCTGAGAATATGGTATTTTTCTTGTTTGGGATGCCAGTTTTGATTTGTTGCAGGGCATTTGCAGGTCCCACTCTAGGAGGATTTCTAAATGAAAAGCTGGGTTTTGAATGGGCCTCAGCCATCCAAGGAGGATGTGTACTGCTAAGTGTAAGTAATTACACATTTTTTGCTTTTTATATCTATTGCAATTATGAGTTATTGCATAAGGTGGTTAGTAACTGTCTGTTTCCTCAAAGGGTCTGGCAACTGGAATATTCTATATCACTGAGACAACAAGGAGAAGGTATGCCAAGATAACTATTCTTCATTTTACCTGCAGCTATATAAAGCAAACCTTTGGAAGCTGTGCTTCCATTTCTTCCTCCCTACCAACCTGATAATGAATAACAAATTGAGCAGTAAAAATACTGCTTAAATACTTTGTCTGTATGCTTTCCTAGATCCTTACTGACCTAAACAGACACCTAAACCAGGGAATACCTGTTCTATACAAGCAACAGGACTGTGACATTAATGAGCAAACCCTATTGATGGTTCTTCCAGGAGAGTGTCTTTGAGCTAGAATTGGCTGGATGGTCACATCTAGCAAGTAGTAGTCAACAGTTCAATGTTTGGATGGAGATCAGTGATAAGTGGTGTCCCTCAAGGGTCCATATTGGGACCAGTGCTGTTTAGTATCTTGATCAGTGACACAGACAGTGGGATCAAGTGCACCATCAACAGATTTGCAGATGACACCAAACTGAGTGGTGTGGTTGACGTGCCTGAGGGATGGGATGCCATCCAGAGGGACCTGGATAGGCTTGAGAAGTGGGCCCATGTGAACCTCATGAGGTTCAACAAAGCCAAGTGCAAGGTCCTGCACTTGGGTCAGGGCAACCTGTGATATCAATGGGGCTGAGGGATGAAGGGTTTAAGAGCAGCCCTGCAGAGAAGGGCTTGGGGGTACTGGTGGATGAAAAGCTGGACATGAGCCAGCAATGTGCAGTCACAGCCCAGAAGGCCAATGGTATCCTGGGCTGCATCAAGAGAAGCGTGGCCAGCATGTCAAGGGAGGTGATTCTGCCCCTTTGCTCTGCTCTGGTGAGAATTGGGGTTGTTCAGCCTGGAAAAGAGAAGGGTCTGGGGAAACCTTATTGCAACCTTTCAATACTTAAAGGGGACTTACAAGAAAGATGGGGACAGACTTTTTAATAGGGCCTGTAGCAATAGGACAAGGGGTGATGGTTTTAACCCAAAAGAGGGTAGATTCAGACTAGATATGAGGAAGGAATTTTTTTACTTGGTGAAACACTGGAACAGGTTTCCCACAGAGGTGGTAGAAGCCCCATCCCTGGAAACACTCAAGGTCAGGCCTCTGAGCAACTTGGTCTAGTTGAAGATGTCACTGCTCAGTGGGTTGGACTAGATGACCTTGAAAGGTCCCTTCCAACCCAAACCATTCTGTGATTCTGTGAAGTGATAAGTGTGAAAGCAATAGTACATGGTTCTGTGCAATAGTGGGTAACCAAATCCAGTGATCCACTTCGCTCTTTCCACACCATGTGTGGTGGTTTTGCTATAATGTTGGTATTGCATAGAAGTATCTAGAGAATATTAAACCTGTTTCTTCCTTCCTGTTGTTTTCCTTGTACAAACAGTTCCAGTTCCAGCCTGCAAAATCCTCCTGGTGATAATGAAGAAAGAACTCATCTGGTGGGCAGTGAAACATAGCCAGAAATACTTTCAATTCTCTGTTTGCTCTTGTGGTTTAACCTAGTGTTGAGATGAGTGGACTTAATAGTGTTTCATTACTCTGGAGCTGGAGTAAATGATCCCTTAATGAACAACCAGTTGTGGTTTAGTTGTAGCTGCTGTTTTGAAATGCTAAACACTGACTGCCTTTCTTCTGGAAGTCCTTGCGTGGATTGGCTGGAGTGATGAGTAACCCTCAGATGTCAGCCTTTTTAATTGTATTCCATATACAGTGCACCACTGTATGTGAAGAGATGTATTTTCAAATGTCTAGTTTCTATACTTGAGCCTGCTGTGCACTATTTTTGGGTGGAGCTACTATTTTGCTACCATGATTTTCTGTATTTTTTTAAAGAAAGTTAATTATCTTGTAATACTTCAACTGATAACATGAAATGTTGAAATAGAATGTGAAATAACAAAATATTAAGCACAATATTGTTTTCAATAAAGCATTTTTTTTCCTAGTTTTGTGAATTTTCTTAAACAAGAGTCTAAAAGACTGTGTGCGTACCAGCACTTGTATTATCTTGAAAGTGTCTGAAAATAGGAGGCAGAGGTGATGAAGAGTTATTAGCATGTCCACACAGAACAAACTGATCTTCAGTCCTGGAGGAGACCTGGCATCGTGTGCCAGGTATACATACACACACAGACATATGGATGTTTGTATTGTATGTGAAGACTCAGCTTGGTGTGTGTGAGATCTGTTTCACTAAAAAATGCCAGCTGGAATGTTTGTACTAATTGTCTCTTCCACACTAAAACTCACCTCCTCCAGATGCTTGGCAAAAAAACTCAAGGGGAACTGAGACAAGGATATGCCTGGCAACCTCACACTAGATGTGTTGACCTTGGTTGTGGCAAAGAGTCTTTTAATTTGTCCTTGAGCCCAGTACTGGGTCATAGGAGTTTTATGTGGTACCCATTTTTCCATAAATAATAAAAATGTTCTTGTCTTAGCAATTTCCAGTCAGCTTCTCTTGTGAGCAGCTACTGAAATTTACATGAGCAATAACTTATTTCCCTGCTAGAGCTCTTTTTGGGTTGCTAGCAAGAGCGGCTCTGGTAGCCAGCTGAATTGTGAAACAATCAGGGTACTAACAAGCAGGCTTCCCCTGCGAGCATCCTGGCAAAAGCTCCCTTCTGTTTTGTGTTGGGTGTTAGACTTCACTGAAATGGGGAATGTCAGCCTCAACCTTCTATAAAGTGCTGACCCTGCCAGTGGCGGGGGGGGGGGGGGGGGGACCAGTGGCGGTGGTGAGGCAGGTGAGAAGGAGCCAAGAGGACTAGAGGGTGGTGCAAGTTGCACAAGATTTAGATCTGTAGACATGATACTTAATTAGCAGCTCCCTTTGTGGAATTCCTTGCTCATTTACCTGACTTTTGCTGTTAGGACTTGAAGTGGCCAGGATTACCAGACAGAGCACAAAAGTAATTGAAATTAGTGAGCTGTCACAGAATCACAGAATGTTGGGATTGGA